CCCCTATATATATATATATATATATATATATATATAGAGAGAGAGAGAGAGAGAGAGTTGGGTTCACGTGAGACCAGTCTGTTTTCGTCCGTAAGACCACATTTTTACACGTAACCTTCACAGCAAAAACACTGTGAAGGTTTAAAAAAAGTCGAACCTTCACAGCAAAAACACTGTGAAGGTTTAAAAAAAGTCGAACCTTCACAGCAAAAACACTGTAAAGGTTTTAAAAAGTCACATTCACAGCATTTTGCTGTGAAGTTTCAAGTGTAAAATGTTAGTCTCACGGGTCTCATGAAAACAGGCTGGTCTCACATGATCCCAAGTCTATATATATATATATATATATATATATGTGTGTGTGTGTGTGTGTGTGTGTGTATTTTGTACTTTTGTTGTTGTATTATAGCTTTCCAAAAAGCATAATTTCATTTATGAAATTTAAAGGTAACCAAACCTGACTATAAAATCGTCGGTGTCGATGATTGTTGATATAGTTATTTGTTAAAAAGGTTATTAAAATTGTCATGTGATTGAAGGTACTTCAATTATCGAAAATAAAACAAATATTATATTCTAGAGTGATTTACGGATTTAATAGCTTTGGTTTAATGAAAACTATGACTTCCTTAAACTCGATTAATATGGATTTGGTCCTTGTGGTTTTTGTTTTTGTATGACTATGGTCCTTGAACCAAACGGTGCTAACAGTGGCTTTGTTAACTCAAGGGTATTCGAGTCCTTTTATCTTTTTCTTTTTTTTATATTTTTATCAGATATTAAAGAAGATATGATATTTATTTAATAGATTATACAAAAAAAAAAAAAAAACCTCAGAACTTCACCTTTGTCTTCCTCATGTCCCCTCCCGCTGTTGGCCTTCTCTATCGCTGACCACCTTATTTCTTGGCGATCACAATCCTCCTTCTTTCCTGAACTGAAGGAAACCAAATTGCAAAAGAAAAAAAATGGAGAACTTCTATGATCTTCCCATACTGACTCCCCATCTTCAAGCCACCAACACCAAGCTTCATTCTGTCTTCAATCAATCACCAAACAAGTTGATCAATCTACCCCATCTCTACTTCTCTGTTTACTCCTCTATAGCCTCTTTAATTTGCAACTTCAAATTGCAGCCCTCGATTTACGGCCTCATTAATCTGCAGGCTCTTCAACCACCTTCAATCTGTAGCCTCTTCAACCACCTTCGATTTACATCCTCATCAGGAGAGCGGAGAGGGTACCAATGTTTGGTGGATAGGTGGTGATCGAGGAAGATAGAGAGATTTCAAGGTGGCAGTAGGGAAAGCCAGAGATGGAAGCCGACGAGGAGGGGCGAGAAGAGGAAGACGGTGAGGTCGTGAGATTTCCCTTAGATGCGCACACCTTCACCGCAGATGTGTGTGTATATATAAAGATAGATTAAATTATAACATATACAGTTTTAGTTTTTAATATGAAAACAATATAAACATGGGCATTTTGGTCCTTTCACCACTGAGTTAACTGAACTAATGATTTCTTTAAACTTCTGTTAGTGAGAGGTACCTTAGTCATGCAAAAATGAAAACCACAAGGACCAAATCCATAATTAATCAACTTTAGGGACGATAGTCATAATTTTCACTAAACCATATGAACCAAATATATCCGTAATTCACTCTATATTCTACAAACAACATGAAAAGAAGCCGTTAAAATTCCTTTGAAATGTCTTTATCACTCTTTTGATGATATTTTTTATGCCTTACTATTTCTAATGAAAATTCTAAACCCCCCCCCCTCTCTCTCTCTCTCTCTCTCTCTCACACACACACACACACACACACACACATATATATATATATATATATAGTGTTTTATTAGATTTAAGGTGTCGAACTCATTAAAATTGTTTTTATCGCTAAATTAATAATTTCATGTTAAAACTGCACTGAAATTGAACACGCATAATATTTTGAAAGGTGAAATGCTAAATGAATATCTTTAACAATTATGCTATAACTGTTTTGAGGGTGAATCATGGATTCAGTTCCTGTGGTTTGATGTTTTTTTTACTAGGGTCGCTATAGCATGTTTATTATGGATTTCATTCTTGTGGTATTCAATGTGTTTTGGCCATGGTCCCTCTGACTAACGCTTTTATTAACTCTGTTAAATCAAGGGTCATTTTAGCCTTTTGCTGATTCTTTCATCTTTTTCTAATAAAAAAGTAAAAACAAATTGTTATACACACAAACATAGACTTGGGATCATGTGAGACAAGTTGTTTTCATGAAACACGTGAGACACAATTTTTACACTTGAAACTTTACAACAAAATACTGTGAAAGTAACCTTCACAGTGTTTTTCCTGTGAAGATTCGATTTTTTTTTACCTTCACAACACTTTGTTGTGAAATTTCAAGTGTAAAAATCGTATCTCACGTATCTTACAAAAACAGTCTTGTCTCACGTGAACCTAACCCCAAAAACTTATACATACACACACACATAAATATATATAATGATATCAAAATTAATAAAATAAGATATTATTGTATGATTTGATTTGTTTAATTTCTTTTAAAATTAATTATATTATATTAAATACAATACAATCAAATCCACATTTCACTCTTGTTTTAAAATATTTAAAAAGAAAAAGTTACATGCAACTCCAAATGCTACTCTATTTTAGCAAATACAACATTAATTATATTATTAAAACATTATATATGAATCAATCAAATACATATAAAAAAAAACTCATAACAAATTATAACACGTTCAACCTCATTAGTAAAAACAACTAAAATAATACATCTCTTGTCAATATTACATTTTAGAGGCCTGTGGCGGATCCAGGAAATTAATGGGGTGGGGGCACGTTGGATGGGACTTGGGGGAGGGAAGCATATGGTCATATGGGACTGGGAGAAAACCATATAAGATGAGAGTGAAAATAAAAAATTTAAGCTAGTCAACAAAAGTTTTTGGTTTTTGACTGGGGCCTTTACCCGTGCTTAATAGCTAGATCCACCCATGCATGTGATGTGTATCTCAATTGATAATGGGGTGGGTGACTTCGTTCAAATTCAAAATAGGTCCCGGGTTCGATCCTGAGCCCCCCGCTAACCTTAGCCACTGAGTGAGCCATAAAATACCCTCTCACATTAGTGTTATCGGAGGCAGGTTCCGTATAAAGTCGATTGGAACTACTGATAATCAACTTTTTTGCTTAAACATTAAGTTTAGAGATTTTCCAAAATTTTAAGATTTATACCTTTTGTAAAGAAAATTCATTTTAAGGTGAATTTCTAAGTTTTATTTATTTATTTAGTTATCTATATTATATTACTTAAAAATCAAGATTACAAATAGATTGTGCGTAAATACAACTTATTAAAACTTCATATTTGAATTCGTGTAACTAACTGCAGATCAACACAATCAAATACAGGATAAACATCTCATTTTAAATATAAAAAATCTAAAAGATAATTAGGATAATCATTGAGTTCTAACAGAATACTTAATTATTATCTTTATAAAATGTTATATTATTAAAACAAAAATAAATTATTTTTGTTATTATCTATACTCTATTATAAAACATTTGGCAAAAAACTCTTAAAAACAACTTTTTATGCGTAAAGTATTGTTTATTAATGCATATTACTTAAAACTTAAGATTGCAAGTAGATTGTGCATATGTACAATTTATTAAAGCTTCATATCTGAATTCGTGTAACTAACTGCAGATAAACATAATCAAATACATGATAAACATCTCATTTTAAATATAAAAAATCTAAAATATAATTAGAATAATCATTGAGTTCTAACAGAATACTTAATTATTATCTTTATAAAATATTATATTATTAAAACAAAAATAAATTATTTCGTTATTAAACTTAAATTAAATTATAACAAAAAAATAGAAATTACATAAAAATACAACTTTTAAATAGTTGATTTGATATTAGCATTGATATTTTTTTTAAATTTATATTTTATTTAAAAATAAAATCATTATTGTTTCTTAAAACACATAAAATTGTATTATAACATTGACAAAGACAAATAATCAAATAGAACATTAAAATCGTGATAGGTCTATCTTCAAGTAATTATTAAACTAAAATTAGAAAATGAAAAAGAAACTGGAATTTAGAAAAGGAGAACAAACTTTAAAAACAAACAAATGGGACCCACATTTGAAACACGTATCCAAGTATGGTGTGATGTGTGTATATATATATAGAGGCAGTTAGGCATATCAGGAGGAGACGAATGAGATTGAAATCCTGCTAAAAATGGCGGAAATCTTTGATACTCACCCAAAGAATGGAATTTTTCGGGTGTCAATGTGTGGTGGCGCTCAAGAACTGGAACAGATGTCTAGAGACGGCAGTCAATATAGTCTCACCACCACAATCTTACCTTCTCTTGGAGCTCGCAGTAATCGCCGTGTTAAGCTTCGCAATTTCATCATATCGCCTTATGATCGCCGTTACAGGTTTACCGGATCTCTCCATGTTACTAGAACATATTTACATGTCCAGATATGCATGATTTAATTTGTGTGTTTGTATATATCATTAATGTATGGCTGAAGTTATGATGCTGTGTGTGATTGGTGTCTTGATATTGATTCCGATCATCTTCTCAATAAAGTCGTTTGATCACTCTTAATGCCGCTTCAATCATACTGCACATTTTCGTAGTTATTTTAATCATCCAGCTGCGTACTTTTTATTTGTTTATCTACTTAATTTTATACTGTATCAATCTCATAATAATCTATGGGCATATTTCATTGTGAACTGCGTAGGATTTAGTTCCTTGTGAACGTTTTTGGAATCTCGTGTACATAATTTATTGTGAAATGGCTTGCATCGTTGAAGGAATTTGAATGAACATATTGGAGTGATTGGACGATTTGATCTATTTCTCCTTGTTGACTTTTTTGGAATTTTCTAATGATTCACAATGCCGAGTCTCCAAGAATGAGTTGTTCTTTGCTGTGTCTAGTTTGACTCGTTTTCAACAAGGAGCAGAAGAAGAACCTGGAAACTCTGACATGAAACTTGAATTACGTAGAAATCTGAAATTTGATCAATAGCCATCGTACCTTTCTGGGATCTGAATACCTTTTCATGCTTTTTGCTGGTTTTTTGACTTATTGTATCTTCAATCATATCGACAAGAATTAACTTCACTAGTTTCTTTGTTTCTTCTTCCTTGGTTTCTATGAGCAAGATGATTAAATACTGATTTAATATTAATTGAATTTGCATGTTGGTTCCATCCGTATCTTAGATTATGGTCTATGCCTATGGCATGAAATATCGGCCACATAAACAATGCAAAAGAGAGTATATATATAGCTGTGTGTACTATCTGTAAAATCTTCAGTTGAGTTTTCTCATGTAGTCCAAAAACTTGCTATTCGTATTTACTTGTGACCAATTTTACTGACATGAAACTCCATTTTCAGGGCATGGGAGACATTTCTAGTAGTTTTAGTCCTCTATACTGCTTGGGTGTCCCCATTTGAATTCGGATTTCTTGAGAGGCCGCAGAAACCACTCTCAGTCATTGATAATGTTGTCAATGGGTTTTTCTTTGTTGATATTTTCCTTACCTTCTTCTTAGCTTACCTTGATAAAAGCACCTACCTTCTTGTGGACAATCGAAAGAAGATTGCTTGGAGATATGTAAGCACCTGGTTGGCATTTGATGTCATTTCCACAATCCCTTCTGAACTAGTTCGGAAGATCTCCAGTGGTCCTATTCGAACCTATGGCTTATTCAACATGTTAAGACTCTGGCGGCTGCGCAGAGTTAGTGCCTTGTTTGCCAGGTACATTGGTTTCAATTTGAAATGTTTGGCTCTTTGTTGCTTATTGTCCTCCTTACTTCTGAATGCTAGAGCATATATGCAATGGTATGTGCATAGAGCATCTCAGTGAATGGGCCAGAACACGCATTGAAGATATTTAGTTAGTGATTCCACATGATGAGCTATAGTTGCTCTTGCATAATGCAATTATTATCCTTTTTTTTTTTTGTTCAATTCTTTTTGTTCTTGGAACAGATTGGAGAAAGATAGGAACTTCAACTACTTCTGGGTTCGATGTGCCAAGCTTATTGCTGTAAGTATTTTTATCAAGGGCGATATTTTGTATCATGAAATCTATTATATGTAGACAGCAATAAATTTATGATCTTGGTATTAAAGCTATGTTTAGTAAACTAGCTGATAAGTTAGTTGCTAGCAGAAATAACTTGTCCTACGAATTAGAATTCATTATGTTCTATCTGTATAGGTTACTCTTTTTGCCGTGCACTGTGCTGGGTGCTTCTACTATTACCTTGCTGCTCATTATCCTAATCCTGGAAAGACTTGGATAGGGTATGGTAATGAGAACTTCGAAAAGGAAAGAGTGTGGATTCGCTACGTGACATCCATGTACTGGTCAATTACAACTCTCACTACTGTTGGATATGGTGATTTGCATGCCCAGAATAGAAGGGAGATGATATTTGTCATATGCTACATGCTTTTCAATCTTGGAATGACATCATATTTGATAGGAAATATGACCAATTTGGTGGTCCATGGAACCAGTAAAACCAGGCAATTTGTAAGTTTTTAATCTTCACAAATCCTGTTTTGCCACATGATTCCTTCTCATGAGAGTGACACTTACATCTAAGGTTTTGTTTTGACAATAGAGAGACACCATTCAAGCTGCCTCAAGTTTTGCCCAGAGAAATCAGCTCCCTGTTCGCTTGCAAGATCAGATGCTTGCACACTTGTGCTTGAAGTTCAGGACTGATTCAGAGGGCCTTCAGCAACAAGAGAGCCTTGATTCCCTTCCAAAAGCCATTCGATCCAGCATATCTCATTTTCTTTTCTACTCGCTTCTGGATAAGGCCTACTTATTTCGTGGTGTGTCCAACGACTTGCTTTTTCAGCTGGTACGGTTTATAGCTTGCTAATTAAGTATATTGAATTGGATGCTATATTTGTCATCAAACCTATAACTGGCATTTCATATATCTGAAGGTTTCGGAAATGAAAGCAGAATATTTTCCTCCAAAAGAAGATGTCATTTTGCAGAATGAAGCACCGACAGATTTCTATGTGCTTGTTACAGGAGCAGTGGTGAGTGTTAGATGTCTTCATTGTATTTCCATTGGCCTAAAAAGAATTTTTATTTATTTCTCTTATAGCTACTCCTTTCTTAAATGGTGTTTGATGGTTAATCACTTGATCAGGAGCTGGTGGTTACGAAAAATGGAGTTGAACAGGCAAGATTTCATTCGAAGATATCAAATATGCTTTTTAGATTATATTTGTGGAATAGATGCGATATTTTATCTTAAGGTTGTAGGATAATTGAAGAAAAACGGGAACTATGACTGCAGGTTGTTGGAGAAGCTAAAACCGGTGAGCTTTGTGGTGAGATTGGGGTTCTTTGTTACAGACCTCAGCTCTTTACGGTGCGCACCAAGCGACTAAGCCAGTTACTACGGTTGAACCGTACTACATTCTTGAGCATCATTCAGGCCAATGTTGGTGATGGGACCGTTATCATGAACAATCTCCTCAAGGTTGGTATACATCGTTTACATTGAAAATTATCCATCATAGCGGGTGAGTCTTGGAGCAACTTGTTTGTTACTCCTTTGGGTCATAGACTCGAATCATAAAAATCTCCACTTTGCATGAAGAACAATTGAAAAACCATGTGGAACGACTTCCTCCACAAACTTGCAATGCTGGGGAGCCTCATCCTTTATCAATCAGTAATGCCATGTTTTGGTTGTTATTTTTTTTGAGTTTATTAAAAAAGCCCCGTTTGATTAGCCTTACTCGAATTAGCGTTACAAGAAACTCTGGGATCTATTCCCACTTTTTCAACATGTCCTATTCATATAGTTTATGAACTAGCTTTAACCAAACCTAACCAGTTCCTAAACTAAAAACTAGCTTATTAGCCAACAACTAACTTTTCAGCAACATTCAGCTTATAGCTTTGCCAAACATGGCCTACAACTTCCAAGTGTGGAGCTGGTTCAGCTTGGAAGCATGTCTTTTTCCTGTTTTGTTGGTTTCTATCCCATTTTCTTCAAAACTTTAGCATATTTTCCACGTTGAAAAGAGTAAAAACCTTCTAGGCATACTCTTCCAGAATTAAGCATGCATGCATGTATCATTAAAAATTAGAGAAGGCTGAGTTTTTGTTGGTTAATGGAGCAGCATTTGAAAGACATAGATGATCCAGCTATGGAGGGAGTTCTGATGGAGACAGAGAACATGCTGGCTCGTGGTAGGATGGACTTGCCCCTCAGCCTATGCTTTGCTACACTTAGGGGAGACGATCTTTTACTGCAAAAATTGTTAAAGCGAGGTCTCGATCCTAATGAATCTGACAACAATGGAAGAACAGCCCTGGTCTGTATGTTGATTTTGTCTTAACAGTCTCTTACACTCTTCACCTGAATCCACATGATCCTAACACAATTTTTTTGACTACTTCCAGCACATTGCAGCATCAAAAGGAAATGCAAACTGTGTACACCTGCTGCTAGATTATGGAGCTGATCCCAATAGTAGAGGTAATCCTTTCTTTCTGGAGCTAGAATTGTTAATCTATAACAACTTGTAAGAATCGTTTACCAAACGCATACTAGGAACCACCCTCACTTTATCTTCTGGGGTAACATTCTCCGCAATCAAAATGTACTGGTGGTAACCGTTTTTTACCCGGTAAGTGCTTGACGGGTAAGAGTATTTTCTCTCACTTACCGCGTAAGATTCTAAGTCTTTGTTATGCCTCTTACCAACTAAAATTCTGTCATTGTTATGCTCACTCGATAAGGTAAATGACATCCGGTAAATACTTACCTGGTAAGCGTTTGGTAAACGGCTCCTAAATTGAGCATTGCTCTGAATTTGACTAATTATGCTTGGGAAAGAAGCCCAATTATGTTTAACCTTGAAATCAGCTCAACCGAAAAATAGAAGCTAGGATTTGGGACTAGTCTCCGTAGGGCCACTCCCACCGGAGATTTTCTGAAGTAGCCCAACCACCCAAGTTTGAAAATAATGGATTTAAATGCCAAACCATATTTCCTGGTCAACCAACCGTTAAAATAGCTTTTAATTCCCTCAAATCATTGCATGCCTTTGCCATTCTCACTGTTGCAATTATTATTTTCAAAGTCAGATTGATCTTTTTTTTTCCAAATTGAACCCCACTTGTTGGTCAAATAACTAGAATTATTAACACCATGAATTATGATTATTAAATCAAAGTCTCATTATATGAGGCATCATCAACCACGTCTCCATGGTTGCTCGATGACAATAATGGAGTTGTTTACGAATAATAGAATAACGATTAAGTCAACTATTTTAGTTGCCATCATTAAGCTCGACATCAATTAAGCTGTATAGAATAATAATTAATAGCAAGTGTCTTTCTATGTCTTTTGACCTATCCAGATTCAGAAGGTAATGTTCCAATGTGGGAGGCCATACTGGGTAATCATGAACCAGTTACCGGAATCTTGAAAGATAACGGTGCTACTGTGTCCTCTGGCGATATCGGCCAGTTCGCTTGCATTGCCGCTGAGCAGAACAAGTTGGACGTTCTCAAACAAATCATTAGCTTCGGAGGGGATGTCACGCTTCAGAAAAACAATGGTTCAACGGCTCTTCACGTGGCCGTTTGTGAAGGTAACATTGAGATGGTGCAGTTCTTGTTAAGCCAAGGAGCCGATATCGACAAACCAGATGATCACGGTTGGACTCCTAGAGACCTGGCTGACCAACAAGGCCATCACGAGATAAGAAACCTTTTCTTGTCCGTTAAACAAACCGACGACTACTCCCAGTTGATGAAAACGTCATCGCTCATGCCGTTTCAGCGAGCCGAGTCCCGACACGTTCAGTTTCTCGGGAGGTTTAAAAGCGAGCCGATGATGATCAGACCCGGTTCCCAATTGGCGGACGAGGGTCCGTTGAGTCAACCTCGCCAAAGACGGAGAGGTAACAACTTTCATAATTCACTTTTCGGGATAATGTCGAATGCCCGTGACGGTGACAAAAATATCGACTTGGTCTCGCCAAGACCGCCCCAAACGGGGAAAGAAAACAGTCGTCGTCGAGTGATAGTTAGTTGTCCCAAGAAAGGAGACGTTGTGGGGAGGCTTGTGCTTTTACCACAAAGCTTCCAGGAACTATTCGAGATTGGTGTTAAAAAGTTTGGTTTCTTGCCATCAAGAGTGTTGAACAACGAGGGAGCAGAAATAGATGAGATAGAGCTAATTCGAGACGGTGATCGCTTGATTTTTGACTGCGACATTAGTTGAACTGGTCAATAGTTTGGTCAGGCGGATGGTGAGAAGTTAAGATAACACCACCACTGCCTGCCTTTGTACTCTATGTACTTTATTCTATAATCCTATTTCATACTTACAAATGCCCACATTGTTATGTATACCAAATACACCCTTATACATCTGTTAACATATTGTTCTGTGTACCAAATACACCTTTATACATCTGTTAACGAGAAAAGCATAACAGACTAAAGATAAACTATATGACATCCATATGTACAATATTTTGATGTTTGTAGTTTATGAAATGATTGGAATTTTTGTGTTTGAAAATCTTTAAATTGGGGAATATGATTAGCACAAGACTAAGGGCCATTTACTAAATGCATACTAAGGGCATCTACCTTACCAGATAAACATGACAAGTGCCGAGAATCTTATCCTGTAAGAACGACGATAAAGGAGTCATGAAGAGTCTTACCCGTTAAGTGAGGGTGACGACTCTTACAATGTAAGCACTTACCAGAAAAATTGTTGCATACGATGTTGTTTTGATGGACGACAATCTTACCGTGGTAGCGCTTACCGGGTACGTGTTTAGGCCCCGACTCCTCAAACATTAACATCAACCAGAAAGGAGAAAAAGCATGAAAGTATGTAAGATATACCAACTTATCAAAAACAAAATCAGGGTGTATATATATTATATGTATATTGTTACACCACCAATGAAAGAAAGTATTGGATATACGCATTAGGTGGCCATCATATGTATCTGGTGGTCACAAAAGGTTTAGCATCTTTAGGCGCTCCACATGCTCTGGATCCAGTTTTGGAGGTGTGTAACACCCCTGAAGATCCTCCACCACATACTCCTGTCAAAATTATAACCCTATTATTATTATGCTTTACTAATTACTACTACTACTACTACAAAAACTAAAGTATTAACAATCATTTCATGGATACCATCCGTTCAACCTAATTGTATCGTGGATAGTGTTCGAAACCCGACGACACCATTCAAACACAGCTTCAGATAGATATCCAGGCTTGTGGGCCATTTACACAAACACTTACCTGGTAAACGCTTACCCGCTTACTAGTAAAATTCAATGCTTTTGACTTACTTTACCAGGTAAGATTGTAGTCAATTAGAACAGTATCGTATGCAACAATTTACACGGTAAACGCTAATTGAGTAAGAGTCGTCACCCTCACCGCGTAAGACTATCTTTATGATCGCACTTACCGGGTAAGAATTCTTGCCAATTATACATGTTTTTGCCCAATTATAAAGTTTGACTTATATTCTTTTAGCCAAGTTGACAATTCCTGATTCCAGCTTTCATATGTCACATTGTCATTTTAAGACAATTTTGTTGTTTTAATTTGTAAGAATTTTAGTATAATACATGATATTTTATATATTGTTTTATTTTTTACTCGCCCAATCAATCTATAGTCTTGGTATTGATGTACAGCTTAACAGAGTCTCCAAAAGATGGAACGTTTTCCAAAACAAGGTCCACATACTATTGTCATAATGGTTTTAGAAGTCATAGTTATAAATTGGGGATCCCATTTTCTACTCGTCTTGTTTAATTTCAGCGGAGTTTTTGTGGGTGTTTGGGATGTCACTAGTTACTTGAAAGCAAATGAAGATGGTATTACCTGTGTAAGTTCTCTCTTGGTGAGGATGTGGTAGTGTCTCTGCCAGATCCTCTGGACAGCCATGGTGGCAGCAAGAAAGCCATAGGCAATACCAAGAATTGCGAATATGACCACAAAAACTATAACCAGAGCAAAGCATGCCTCCATTGATGCTGGAAAACAGTCCAAAACTCCCCAACCATAACAGCAATTTTGGCAGCCAGCCATCCGTGGATCGTTATTGAAGGAAGAGCAGTGTAGTATAATCCCAAAAAATCCGAGTAATACAAAGAAGACAAGGACCCCTGTGGAACATTATAACTCCTTAAGAGAACCATTATAATAGCAATGAACAAAAGAAAAGCAATGACGTATTTTGCGAAGATAACAGATGCTTGGTACATGGATATCAAGATTTAGTGATCATAGAAAAAATTCAGTACACTAGGGTGAGTTTATATGTGTAAGCACGTGTGTAGTATACAAGTCTTTAGACCCGGCAACAAAATAAAATAAAAATATCTCGTAATTCATGTGGCAAATTTGGGAAACATAAACGTACTTGACACACATAAAACCAATAAAAGAATAATATTATCTCACAACATATATCAAATATATGAAATAAACACATAAAGGTTAGATTTTCATCATGCTTTTGCTTTTACTTCAATTTGGCGTGTCAATGTTAGTCTAAACTAAACTATGAAAGACTTCCTTTCTTTCTTGTATACATATGATCCGAGTTTTCCTTTAAAACTTTCACCTTGACTTTTTAGTCATATAATTTGTAATTTTTTTTCTTTTTACAAAAAGAAACAAGACTAAAGTTGCTCCCTCCAGTATAATATATATTCACGGTTAACAGCATATTGTCAATGTGCCAAACAGTGCACACTCATGAAGCATCTGAGCTTCCTAGCTAATAACACAAAGTACTCTTTGCAGGAGGTCAGTTGCTACTTAGATTCCTTAAAGGAACACTAATAAGAATTAGAATAATACACTTAGCTATCCACTGTCAGGAATATCCTTACAAACAGCATCCTAATGTTAGGTTTTCAACTACGTTTAAGCGGGTTATCTGCAATAAAGTTTGTTCATAGAGCAGAAATGGCATGTGGTACCTAGTAACTCATGGCGGAATTATTTGGTAGCCAGAACTACAACCTTTTTTAAATTCTGTTGTATGATTTAAAGAAGAAAACTTACCTATACAGTAGTAGAATGGTATAGGATGCCTTGACAATATACGGTCCCAACTATCATTAAATGAATCTCTGAAAGACCCATCTTTGTCAGCAAGATATGCTAGACCTCCCATCATTCCAATTACCTGTTTAACAGAGTGTTTTGAGTTACCAAGACGTCAGTAGTTGTATAGATATGAAAATATGTACACGTTATATTCAGATAACATCATCCTGAAACTTGTATGATGAAAGTTACTGTCAAATCTAACCAGTTAAAGTTTCAAGACATCCATGGCCTTAAACATTAAAGACAAGCCTACTGGTCGTAAAATCTTTAAGCGAAGTAAGCGTTGGATCCCATAATCATCTTTTAAGTATCACATGATTCCCATACAGTCAGCTTCAATTTAAATAATGTAATTAAGAAAGTTTGACCCTTCAATAGCAAATGCAGGTAACCTACAAGGGTAAGGGTCAGGGTGTTTTGGCAAAATGATGACAATTATTCAGTGGCAACTTGGAACAACCATTATAAATTAGCATGGTTAAACGGCCCTTCTTGTGTATAACAATCATATCAATTAGAATATAAAAGAGAATATCTTAGCATTTTTCCATCTTTGAGCTGTGTGTACAGATTGGATTAAAAGAACTGGAGAGATAGATTCATAATTAGCGGTAATCAGAACTTGCACCTTGGTCAATGATGAAGTCATGAAACAAATGCTTTCAAATGAACCAGATGGTTTTATCATCGCAGTTACTTGAAAAAACATTACATCTTAATGATGCGATAGTACACACACACACACACACACACTTGGTACTCAAATATAGAAGTGTGTGTGTGTGTGTGTTCGCTTATCTTGCTTCTTTTTCTTTCTGTTTTGCTCTAGGGAGGTGGGCGGAGGGAACAGGATATAAAAAACACTCATCTGTTGAAAAGAGTAAAGACCGATTACAAACTGTTCACTTAAGAGCTTGCTTTTTAGATGATTCAGTTATGAAGTCATTGAGTTTGAATCTGAGTTACAATGCTTAATGAATATATAAAAACAAAAGTTTAAAGAATCCAGCAAGCAAAATAAGATAACAGAAAGTCAATGTAGAGCTTTAACAAAGCAAGAAACGGCAAGTTGATAATCCAAACTTCTTAGCTCAAGATTTTATCACATCAAAAGAAAACAAGAACCAGGGGGTTGCAATAACAGTGTGTTTACAAATGATACTTTTGTGATTCCAAAGGAAATTACATTACAGCAACAAAAGTATTGAGATGGATTGCAACTAAGAAATAACAAAATGATATACCAATTTTAAGAAGCAAGTGAAGTTAGAAGACTCAACTGTTTGTGCAGCCAAAAATACAAGGCAGACATCCCTAGCAACAAATAGTCTGAATTTTATTTTGCGCCAGGAGTTGTCTTCTGACTCAACAACTCGAAGATGAAACTGTGCTTTGCAAGTTGTGCAATGTGAAAAGGCAAAACCTTCCTGTCAAGAGTAATGGAATGTAAAACATACGAAGAGTAGGAAATTTTTTATTCCCTATGAAACAATATGAGAAATCAGTGTCACTTACCTTGACGGACCGCCAATGATCAAGGCACGAACGATGCACAAACTGCTGGGTGCCTTTGCACATGCATGGAGATATCAGATCATCATCTGCAGAAAAGAAAAGAACAAACTTAAGGAAAAAGTAAGATCCACGGGATATTTTTCTTTTGAAAAAGAGAGAAAACAAAGTCACCAATTAAACGTGCAAATATTAGAAATCCCCCACAATCTTCATTCACAATAGGAAAGAACTTCCAACTACACTTCAAATGAGAAATACTGTCGATATATATGCTGATTACTTCAACACCTTTACTATTGCTATGAATGCTAGTGATATGATGCTATATATATAAATCCAACTGTGCTATGTTGTACAAAGAACATATAACCAACCACATATATTCAATACAAGAAACATATAACCAAGCTATGAGCCATCACCAGTCTCTGGTGGACATTCGATATGATATTCATGTAGAAAACCATAAATACCACAACCACTAAATTAATATCAAGTAGCAATGATCATTGATCAGTACTCTACCCAGAGTCACTTCTACAATCACTTAAAACCTAGGATTAGAAATCATCTATGCTATCATCATTCTCTGGTGGACATTCAATATGACTTTCATGTAGATATCGATGGCTAGCACAACCATGAAACTAAAATCCAATGGCTACCACTTGAACCCAAATACAGGTGAACATAAACAGAGTAGTGCAATAAAACTAATTCAACTTAAGCGAGCGTTGATAGAATGGCTCCATTACCATGGTATGTTAAAAACTAGTGTCCTTTTGACAACATGCACAACAAGGAACTCAATACACACTTCTTTCATTCGGTCACAAGTACCTAACTTGATAGAAGAGAAATTATGATACAGGACAGCAAGTGATGTGATTTTTATCCTCAAACAATATACCAAAACAAAAGTATAATTAAAATTGCCAACATAGTTATTCCAACAGAAAAGAACAAACGGCAAGTCGGCAAGAGAAACTAATGGCGAACCATAAAATACCATCACTAAAAAAGCATAAAAATACTATATATTGAAAAATTACTGAATTACTAAAATGGAAATAAAAAACAGAAAATTTTCAGATTGCGGAAAGTAAATCATTCACCTTCTTCTCCGTCGCATTCAAGGCAAATACGACAAGTAGCTATTGAACCAGCTTCAACATCTTCATCTTTTATCTCACTAGAACTCGCAGCGACCGCCGGCGATGGTGATGGTGATTCAGAACCGGTGTTTTGATGATTCGGAAGCAAAGGATCTGAATCGCTAGGGTTTTCCAAACCCCTCGGTTCTAGCTGTAATTCTCCGTTCATTTAACAATTCTAAACCTAATCAATAACCAGAAAAACCCTAGAACATCAAACAAACGATCAAATAAAAGAACGATCGCCGAAAATGAAAATTGAAGCAAATAAATTGAAGAAGAACAGATCAAACCTGGGAGAATAATTCGACATAAGATATGAAGGATTTCAGAATGATATCATCTGATTAATTTACCTGAAATTTGGGAATAGAAATTGGACAACAAGTTGGTGAAAAGAAAACGTTGGAAGCCCCTGTCAACTGATGAAACCAATTTTGGATTTGGATACGAGGGTCCTTATCTACACGGCACGTGGTGCGCCTGGCGAACCCAGCCGACCCGGGACTGAGTTAGGTAAACCCGGTCCAGTATGATATAAACTCATCCACGTTTTGCATGTTAATGGGCTTGTTGGCTTGATTATGGGCCTGGCCCAATATGGGATCAATGGCAATGAGGATCGGAGCGTAATGCGGAACAATTTTTTTTTATTCAATGTGATATTTAGATCATAATTGGACATGACTTAGGGGTCGTTTACCAAGCACTTATTTGGTAAGTGTTTACCGGTAAAATTTAACACTATTATTTACTTATCGGGTAAGATTTTAATCCATCAAAACGACATTGTATGCAACAATTCATCCGGTAGGCGCTTACCATGGTAAGAGTCGTCGTCCTCACTTACCGGATAAGACTCATGGTCCTTGTCTCACTCTTACCGGGTAAGATTCTTAGTCCTTACCATATTCATCCGGTGAGGTAATGTGACTTGATAAGCATTTACCAGGGTAAGTGTTTGGTAAACAGCCCCTTAATGGGGCATATCACATATTTTTCTATTTCATTAAAATAGTTGGAACGAAAATCAGTAAGATTTGACAACTTTGGTGAATTATTAACCTGTTCATATTTAAACATTTCACAACTCTTTTACTTGTCTACCTCACTATCAAAGGCGGCACTATGGTGCATATAGTGGTACCGGCCATCACTTCGTTCCTACACCGTAGTGTAAAAGAAAATTAGAGTCGTGAAAGGTACGATCGTATTATTTTATTGGGTGTCACAATATATTCCTTGACGATGTTACAATAACATCAATATTTTTTTGGTAGAGTTGTTTTGCATAGTTTTTTCTTTACTTCAAGCCATGGGTTCACATTTGCATCTCTTTCTTAGACTTGGACATAGTTACTCACGTATAAGGGTGTAAATGATGTGAGTCGAGCTCGACTATCACTACACTCGACTCAAACTCGAAACCCAATTTCCAAGCTCAAACTCGCAAGTAGTAAAAATCAAAACTCGACTTAAACTCGATAATTATTTTACAAGCTCGAACTCGAATCAACTTGCCAGAGTCCTCACGGCAATGACTCCTAACCGTTCATGATAACTACTTAGACCGTAAAATAATAGGTGTTCACAAGAGCAGCAGTAGGGTATGAAAAGAACCAACCAAATGCTTAGAAGAAAGTATTTATACTAGTGATTTGGGTTGGTTGAAATTTGAATTACAGTCTTCTTTTTTTTCAAGCTGGAAATTCAACTTTTCATCATCATCATCATCACTCGGTAGATGTTTTTATGGAAAAGTTACATTTGCAACAACGATGAAAAGTTCGATAAGTCGTCGTGAAAACACAATTTTACTTCCAGAGCTTGCGTAGCGACATGTTTTTCTCCGTTTCCTTCTTCATAACCTTGGCCACCGCCATCTCGAAATCTTCCTGTGTCACGTGAACTCTCCTTTCTCTCAAAGCAAACATCCCTGCCTCCGTGCATACCGCCTTTACAGAAACCATTTTCATTTTTAAGCTTTGGAAATACTTGAAAATCTAAAAACTCATGTCAACAACTCTCACCTTAAGTTCAGCACCTGAAGCACCATTCATCTTCTCAGCAATCTTTTTCAGATCGATGCCACGCATTAAGTTCATCTTTCTTGAATGAATTTTCAAGATGTCAAACCTCGACTGTCGACCATACCAACACAAATGAATTATTTATCGGATGGAGTCCAAGAAACTTAATTGTTGAGTACTAATCAAAGATAACCTTAAGCTGTCACGGTCTTAGAAGTTGTTTGGAAGAATTATACCACAACCCGAAAAAAGAACCAAACAGCTGACTACTAGAACGGAGATTGCTTTACCGGACTAAACTTTATAGGACCAAATATTGTGCTTTATTATATAACGATGTTACAATAGGATGTGATATGGGCATCCAGCATCCTAACAAATTTTTTTTATTAACCTGGATATCCAACCCGCTATGCGAGCCGACTAATCCCAGAGCGACCACCTGCTTTGCAGATAGCCCGGAATCACCGCATTTGAACCTCCGTGGCCACAAGGGGGTTTTTATTCCTCCTTGGATTTGATCCTGGACCTCCTGGTATTTTTGACCTTTGGAGCCAAGCTCAAACCAATCAGGCACCATCCTAACAATTTTTTTAGGACACTATTGAAATAAACTGTCCTAATAGTTTTTTTCCAGGACACTTCTATAAACACAGCTTTTTCTATGACACTTTTTTTTTATCACACTTCAAAATGATGTCATAAAAGACTTATGATGCTTTATTTCAAACTTAACATAGAAAACTTGTTAGGATGCCAAAAGCACCCGATCAACTTATTGTAACATTTATATAGGACGCACGTAAACTTAAGTCCTATTATGCTGTTTATTAGGACACATGGAAATAATATGACGTCCTATAAAACCGGTGTTGTAGTGAGAAATAAGGGGAGATGTGGAAGAAGTTGCAAAATAGAGAATGAATAGAGGGGTGAGAAGACAGGCAGGAGATAATACTTACGTCTTCATTTGGATTTGGGAATTCAATCTTCCTGTCGATTCTTCCAGGCCTGAGAAGAGCCTGGTCCAGGATATCGATACGATTTGTAGCCATCAAAACCTGGGAACATTAAAGAGAGAAGCATAAAAAGGTGATGTCTTCTTCAAAACTAATATCCAAATGCTAAGTTGACATTAACTCCATCCAATTTGCACTTCCAGCTTTAAGTGCAAGAAGTACCTTGATCTTGTTTGATGCTTCAAACCCATCCAGTTGATTAAGAAGCTCCAGCATTGTTCGCTGAACTTCACTGTCACCATTCCCGCTTCCAGACTCCATACGAGCAGATCCAATACTGTCAATTTCATCCATAAATATGATTGATGGGGCATGTTCCCTGCACAAGAAAAAAATAGGCAGAAAACAGTGAAAACAGTGTCCAGGCTATGGAAAGAGATATAGTACATGAAAAATTGATGTGAACAAACCACCATTAGAATTTCTCAACACCAATTAAAACAGAATAATGTTTCAATGTCGATTATTCTTATTTGTAAATAACCACAATCAATCTTCATCTTTTCCTAGTGAATCGCTTGCACAAAACCCAACCTCAAGGAAGAACACTGTGTTCAAGGAGTCCCATAAGACATTACAGGTTTGCACAAAAAAGGATAAAAGAGTACATTCTTGAGTTCATTTTTGCATTTTTGCCGAGAGTCTGAAAAGTTAGAAGCTGAGACTGTGTGCAGGAAGACATAATTTTTTTTCACAGATTCATAGTCAGCACAAAACCTTATCAATTATATAAATTTTCACACTAGTAGCTCACTATCAGCACAAGCGAAGCTTAAATGCACACTACAATTGGTAGAAGAACACAAACGGTGAACCAAAAAGCAAAGGTATTAAAAGGCCATAGTGGAATCATGCATAGGCATAAAGTAGAGAGAACAAACCTGGCCATAACAAAAAGTTCTCTAACCATTCTGGAGCCTTCTCCGATATATTTTTGTACTAGTTCAGAACCAGAGACCCTAATGAAAGTACAATCAGTATGATGAGCCACGGCTCTGGCCAACAATGTCTTCCCGGTACCTGGTGGCCCATATAATAGAACTCCCTAAGCAGATAAGGATAGAAGGAGTCAGTACAATAGTTGGACAAACAAGGGCCCTGACTTCGGAAAAGAGATTTAGAAATATAGCACATGACAACACCTTTGGTTGAGCAATTCCCAGACTCTCAAATAACTCCGGATGTTTGATTGGAAGTTCAATAACCTGAATTTTTTTTAGAGAATACACAATATGTAATCAACCAACACCAAGAATTTGAATAATTATACACACACACACACACCAAAACATGAGATTCTCAAGGTCAGAGCGAAAAGAATAAAAAATTGGGAACCTCCTTAATCTCTTTAATTTGCTGGTCAAGTCCACCAATCATGTCATAAGTAGAATCAGGAACCTTCTCAACTTTCATAAGGTTCACCAGAGGATCTACTTTGCTTGGCAAAACCAAATGAAGGACATAGCTATCATTGCGAAGTGCGACCCTGGTTGAAGGTGTAATCTTGGTAATATCAATGCTTTTATCAATATCAACCACATATTTACCCTCGGGGTGGACCTGGAAATAGCAAGTAAAATTCAAATATTAGACCCAGGGCATAAAGCTATTAACTCCGTGCTCCAGTTGCAATTATAACAGTGCCAATAAGCATTAATAGTGGGAAGCAAGGAACAAGAGAAGACATATTGAATGAATAGCATAAAAATGGAGATTCTACGCAAGCATGAGTTTATTCACAGATGACTTTTGATGTAACAAAAATATTTAATATGCCTCTGGTAACAGTATAAACTGGAATATGAACTACGTCAGGTGAGGAAATAACCAGCATACCATATACTGCATAGGTGATGGTAATATTCTCACTTGTATACAACCCCCAAATAAATATATTTACGCATATAGCGTTGCTCATGTGCCATTAGTGAAAACTGAAACACCAGTACACCAGCATACACATAAGATTAACTTAGCAAATATTTGAATTCTACAAGGATGGACTAGTTCAGAAATGATGATACAATGGAGAAGGTTGATAGATATGGTGGAAGTAGCAGTGATAGATTAACTTCTAATTATTAGAACTTAAAAGAATCTCGGACTAAAATGCAATGAGGAATATATTTCATGCTCCAAAAACACATGAAACAATCAGCAAAAAGCACCAAAAGAAAGATCATTATGGGTGTCCCAATCCAGCTTACTCGAAGAGCCGGTGGAGGCATAGTATTTGCATTGTTATAATGCATGAAGGACACAGAAACGGGATCTCTTGATTATAGTAACTTGATTTAAAGCCGCATAGCCAATGCATTAACAAATATTGGGTATGCGACCAATCCAAAGTTAAGGGCCATCTAGCAAACTGAAGTACAAGAAAATGCTTCCATCAGAGGTTCCCTGGACTTATGTGACTGGGTACATAATTCAGTCAAAATGTAAAACCCCTAACTCGAATAAAACAGCTAGCACATGTTTCAGATTTCCACAAGTGAAAGAAAACTTGAACCTCGTCTCCTCAAGATATAGTTTTTGCAAACATCAAAAAAATGCTCAAAAATAAAATAGAACAAGAAGCAGGTACAAAACATAACTAGGTATCCAAAAATATGAGAAATTGATTCACGAAGATGCATGCAAGTAACTTTGTGCAGTCTATCATCAACACACAGCAGGACACCAAATTCATCTGCAAAAGAATTTTTCAGAATAAAGAACTGAATGTAATTTTATGAAGCATGCAGGACAAGCCTAAAACTGCATGCAAATAAATTTCAAATAAGATTGCCTGTGTTCCTTCACACTGTCATGTTTTGACCTGTACTACACTAAAACCTACATGTTCCTTCAAACTGCCTACGATGCCAGGTCACACATGGATCTGTGGCGTAGCACCTTTGATAACTTTCAAACTCTGTGTTGTGTGTGTACCAAAAAAGGAACTACATCCGTGGCTTTTCAAATACTTACAATTATAAACATATGATAATCATTAGTCTACAAGTGACATTTTCATATCAATACATGTAATCATCATAAAACATAAAAGATAGATAGCAGCACTAACCTTCACTAGGACCTTCGATTTTCCCATTACTTTGACAACTTCACCAACATAAGATCCAGGCTCTTGAAGGAGTTGCAACTCTTCCTTAAGCATCCTTACTGTATGTTTGACATTAAAATATAAATTACTGAGCAGCCCAATATTGGTATGTAAGAAGTGTAACATATCATTCAAAGACACATTGACCCTCAAAATAACAACACCCAGTAAACTTCAGACTAATTGACTGAAACCCATCAGTTTATGGCCTTCAACCAAATCTTTTATGTTTTGACTACTGCATCAGAAAATCATAATTAACTGAAGAAATCAGCTGCTGGCTTTTAAACAAGCTGTACTTGAAGCACAGTTGTATAGAACATAAATAAATACCAGCGAATGATTTCACTTTTCATTATACTGCACCTACGAGGAGCAGTTATAACATTTAATCTCACAAACATTGGTTTCAGGTTTTTGAAAGACATACCACATACTAGAAAAGTAAACATGGATAATAATAAGATTGCCATGAAATTAATAAAGACTATAAGCTGAATGGAAACTTCAGCCACTCGCTGAGTGACTTAATCAATGAGGATAGGTTTCGTGCTAGGAAGCATTACTCCTCTTTTCATTCCAAATTCAAGAATACGACTGATACAAAGTGGTCAAATTCTTTAGAAACGATTGGGAGCTCTAGCCCAGGCAGAAGGGGAGGCCCAGGTCCACATACTGGTCTTGGATTGATAACCTATTTGATTCCTTTATTTTCATTTGAGGGACCTTAAATTATCCCGACTTTCTTTCTTGTCCTTCTTACTGGTCTTACCTACATGTTCAATTTGCTATGTACATTCATTTTCTACTTACTTTGCATGTCTTACCCGATTATATTATATGCGTGCCCCCCACTGAATTGTTATTCTACCTATTATATCTTCACCTGTTATATTACATATCTTATTGCCTGCTTGCACACACCTTGGTCTCATGCACGGAAACAGCCTCTTGATCCTAGTGGTCGGAGTAAGGTCCATGTACATCCCACCCTCTCATATTTGACTTCAACACATCCCACCCACACCCAAGTAACATCAACCAAAAAATTAAGAGTATATATTCTAGGGTTTTATGTTTCTTCAAATTTAGGGATTTTCAGGAAACTACCTCGAGAATTTAGATCATTCCGCTGAGCCTCAAGACGATTGAGATTATGACTCTTCTGGCGGACCTGGAGCTGAGCATCGTGAATATGCTGCAAGTAGTACTGCCTCAAACCCTCACCCTGTTTTGCCGTCGTGTGCCTCGATGAACAGATTTCGTGTTTCTCCCCTGAATCAGCTGGTTTCATCGCTATATCCGCTGTCGCCATTCTTGTTTATCAGACGGAGAATTCGTGAAGCTTGCAGAGCTTTCTGTTTCAATGGAGAGATGATTTCAGTAGTCGGTGTACAGAGGGAGGAGTGTTGATCAAGAAAAGGGTTTGATGCCTGTTTTTTATAGGCTTCTCGTTTCAATTTTCTTTATGACGCTTTTGGCTGGGTCCTCAAAGTTTATATTGTTTTCATTTTACACCCTTAAATTTTTATATATTCTCCTCCTTATTTTGTTTTATTTTTTTGAACTTATTTAATAAGGTCTTGAAAACTATTCTATTGTTCTTGGACATGACTCCGCTACTTGTGTTAGGGGTCGTTTACTAAACGCTTATTTGGTAAGTGCTTACCAGATAAATTTCCTCATCGGATTAACATGACAAGGTTCAAAAATCTGTTAGAAAAACTTGCTTGGAATCCACTGAAAGTCGTATATCACTTTCAGATTGAAGTATTTCGACGGTACGATCGAAATCTCAATTGGATAAAATTCAGTGGTTTACTGAACTTGAGAATGCAGAAATCATTATGAACCTATGTGTACCTCTCTAGACGAAAAATGACCAATTCAAAATTCAATACGAAACTGTCAAAATGACAGTCTTTGAGCCCTAAACTGGGTTTAAAAACCAGGCCAAAACGGGGTTTAAAATTAAAAATTCGGATTTTCTGAAGCATTTTTCACAAAGCAATATTACCCAAATAAAAAATTTCCAAGCTGACCTGGCAGCTCGACCCCAGGCAGGGGCTCTACCCCTTGGACCCCGCCAGGGGTTGCCACCCCTTGGACCCGCCACTGGGGGTGCTACCCCCGGACCCCCTTCGTTTAGGGGTTTCGCCCCTAAATTAAAATAAACTCAAACAAGTATGCACTTCGCACCTTCCTTACTTGTTCAATATTTATCATGATTACATTGGTCAACAAATTAATCCAATTACACTTAAATGATATTAGTGATACAAATCACCAACAGAATCTTACCGGATAAAGTGATGAGAAGAATGAAGAGTCTTACCCGGTAGGTGAAGATGACGATTCTTACCTAGGTAAGCGCTTACCCGGTAAATTGTTGCATTCAATACGTTTTGATGTATTAAAATCTTAAGCATCAAAATAAATTATAGTGTTGACTCATATCAATAAACACTTACCAGGTACTCATTTGGGTAAACAACCCCTTAATATGGATAAAGAAACCCCATTACATCCGTCATTTTTTACGACCTATACGATTTGAAATATGAGTAAGAATGATTCTATCCATATGAATAAATCAATAAAAATAAGACAACTTGATTGATTTAGTTGATTTAAAAATTATTTGTTCATCCTCTATGTCCTACAGGTTGCTAGTCACTGATGGACCTAATTTACGTATTCAAAAAAATTGTCCAATAACTTAATAACTCAGAATACAAAGTACGTTGGGGGAGTTAAACTTTTCCCATTGTTAATACACAAAATTTGTGTAAAAGTAGTAACCTCATTAGTCATTTTGGTGGAAAAAATGATGTGTACTATAAGAAACAGTGACTCAAGGGTTATTTGTTTATCTCTTAATAGTTCTATTAAGAGACAACATCTGAATCATTAAGAGGTGAATCTTGTTAGCAAAAAAAAAATGTCTATTAATGGTTCTAAAATCTTCTTAATGATTTTGCATCATGGACATTCCTTAACTATTTAGTACCCTAATTTCACTGTAAACAATTGTCAAACAATTATAGTTCATTTTGTACTATATCATGAGAGCCTTTTAATCATTCTGCACCAAACCATGAGCATTTGTTTCTTATTTGATCATTATCATACGAGGGTGATTAAAATGGCAATTTACTAATCATGAAAATTGTCTTCACTCTTTGAGGTGCAACATGCTAAACTTTTTAAAACGAGGACTAAATATGTAATATTTGTATAGTACAGGGTTAAAAGTATAATTTTCCAAAAAATGGAAGAGTGGAAGCAAAGTATTTTTCAATCGTTTTAGCGTCTATAAACACAACTCGACCGCCTCGCGATTCGCCAATTCTCCTCCTTCCTTCGGTCAAAATCCCCCTCCCCCCCCTTCCCAAAACTCCATTCTCGTGATCTTCGACTGAAAAAAATGTCGGGCAAAGGAGCCAAGGGTTTGATTATGGGGAAGAATGCCGCCCTCAACAAAGATAAAGACAAAGATAAGAAGAAACCTACCTCTCGATCTTCTCGCGCCGGTCTCCAGGTTCGTGCGTTTGTTTGTAATCTGTCTGCGATTGAATGTAATCTTATATTTTGTGTGTTTCTTACGAACTTTTATGACTGATTTTTTCTTGATTTGTAGATTTTGTGATATGATAGGGGTTGATTGAAGAACGACTAGTGATTATGGATGCAGTTTAGTTCTCACATGGTTGTTTGATGTTTTTTGTTGTCTATAAACCCTAATTTGTTTATATGATGAGCGGATTGTAGCAATGGATGGAGCCAGGAAAGTTTTCGTAGTTGGACCAACAAAAATTAACGATTAGAGTGTTTTCTATTTGAAGAATTAGATTTACTAATTTTATCATGATGGATACATGTCTAGTTGTTGAAATAAGGATGTAAATCAAACCAAACAAAGAGAAAACCAATCCCTACAGCTATATAGCATGATAGATATTCCCAACTCCATGAGCTGTTTTTGACTTACTGGCCCTTATGGAGCCAAAAGCTTCAATTTGAGGAAACAACCTGCCAAATAAACCAAACAAAACCAGCTCATGGAGTTAAGCTTCAATTTGAGGAAACAGCTTGCCAAATAAACCAAACAAAACCGAAAGAGCCCAGTCGAAAGTTGGGTTAGGATGTATGCAGAGCTGAGCAGCTGTTACATGAGGGTTGATTTGCAGTTATTTTGATAGATATATCAAGTGACCATAAACATAAAGTTTTTAGAAAGAAAAAACCCAAGGAAACTATCCTAATGAGCTACATTACCTTATAACTATTGTGAATAGTTGCTGATATTTTTTTGTGTGGCTGTAGATTCTGGATGGGTGTAACAGTGATGTTGATGGTTTATATAGGTTGCTTTTATTGTCTTCAAGACCTATAAATTTTATGGTTGGTACATAGAGAATCCTTAAGACCTTGTCTTTATGGAACCAGTTGTTCTACTCTTTAGGGTAGATAATGAGTTTGCATACATCCCATCACGAGACTACACCTATGGCTGGTTTGATTTAGTACATAGAGAATCTTTTCATAGGAAACATTGTGTTGATAAAGATAGAAGAATGTACTTCCGAAGAAAATTTGAAGCTGTGTGAAGGAAGAACATTGATAATGATGAAGAAAAAAAATTCAGTTCTAAGATTCATTTGTGATAGCAGAACATATCTTTTATGTGTTTTACTTGTTTTAAGGGGTTGTTTGACAGTTGCTGAATGGTTTGATGCAGAATGATTAAGAGGCTTTCATGATATAATGCAAAATGAAATATAATTGTTTGGTAATTGTTTACAATGAAATCAGGACACTTAATGGTTAAGGGAGGCTCAGGATACAAAATCATTCAGAGGGTTTTAGAAGCATTAAGAGACCAGACTTTTTTTTTTGCCAAACAAAATTCATCTCTTAATTATTCAGATGCTGCCTCTTAATGGAACTATTAAGAGGTAAACAAACAACCCCAAAATGTTTGGGGTGGACTGGTATAAGTCTGGTAAGTGTTGATATTACAAAGAGGGTAATTAAATCTGTGAACATCTTGTTTGCATATTGTAATTAATTGTAAAGAACTGATTATATTTATTTGGATTCTTAAGATTCCCCTAGAAGGGTATTTAAGATGTTTGCTTAATAGCTTTTCATTAAACTACATACCTGTTTCAAATGTTGGAACTTAATAATGGGACAGGTGGAGTGTTTCTTTTTACGTAATTCGATTTTCTATGTGGATGGGAATGCTTGTTAGCATCTTATTATGATATCATCACCAATATGGTAGACTTTAAGCTTTGCTGTTTCTTTGTTGTAAACTTTTCTTGAACTGCAGTTTCCAGTTGGTCGAATCCATCGTTTACTGAAACAAAGAACCACGGCAAACGGGAGGGTTGGAGCCACAGCAGCTGTCTACTCTGCAGCCATCTTGGAATACTTGACCGCAGAGGTTCTGGAATTGGCTGGCAATGCAAGCAAAGATCTTAAAGTGAAACGTATAACTCCAAGGCATTTGCAGCTTGCAATTCGAGGTGACGAGGAACTTGATACTCTGATCAAAGGAACCATTGCTGGTGGTGGAGTCATTCCTCACATCCACAAGTCACTTATCAACAAATCTTCTAAAGATTAGACCATTAATTCTAGTTAATATAGTTGGCGTCGATGGTCAATTCTTATATATTATCTAATTTAAGAGGTTGGTCTAGGATTCCGATGACATTGTTTTGCTTCTCATTTTGATGCCATTCATCTATCTGTTGGTTACTCTGTTAGAATTGTTGGATGTCTGTTTTCATGAGTTGTTTGGCAATCAATTAAAGCTGGTAGTTTTCTGGTGCGTGTAAGCCGTCTCAAATTCTTTGGCAATGTTTGGCAACCAATACCATAAGCTACGTTCGGTAACTTGCTGATTAGGGTCGGTTTAAATGAGAATGGGGTCATAGTAAGAAAACACATTACACATATCACATGTGATTTTACAGTTAATCACACGTGAATTTATGCTGGGACTGACGTCATGGGCCAAGGTGCGTGCACATCGGTTGTTTGACCATGCTCTTTAATCACGTCAGTCAACTCACACATTCTACAGGTGTTCTGTTATTTTCTCTTTTCTAGTTTGAACCTCTTGCCAACCATGCCCTTTATATTTTTTTAATAAAATTTTCATCATGTTTTTAGGATCATTTTACATTGTTATTTAGCTTATTAGTTAATTGTTGTTAAACATGATTAGTTTATCATTAGTTTATAAGTTAACAATTAGCTTTTCAGCTAACTAGTTTTTTTTGCTAGTTTGCCAAATATAACATTTATAAAATGACATTATTTTTTATTGTGAACAAGAAACCATGGCTACAAGAAAATAACTGGTGGGGTACTAATGCTACAATATATATTCATATTCGTGTAGTTACTATAAAATGTATTTGACAGGGATTTGCTTACAGTGTTTCTATCGTCGAACCCGAACAACATACAGGTCTTGTAAAGATCGATCCTCCAAGATGGGATTAATTGAGACCAACACAACTAATCCAATGCAAATTCTTCGAGCCAAATGAGAACTTCGTTTCTCTTCACCAATTTACACAACAAACATAAACAAAGGTCAGAAACCAATTAAAGTTTCCAAGTAGAACCTTGCTACTACAAGATGATGAGCTACGTGAATATATAATTTTATATATGTGGTTAGATTCCATTTAAAAGGAGAGTTAAGGTTACAAGTATAAGAAGGTATCTTCATCCTTTGATGCACCAAGATGCACCTTATCAATCTCCGTATCAAGTGCAATTCATGGGTGGGTTTGAGATTAAAGGTGATCAAAGGTCCAGATCCCTTCTTATGCTTCTCACTTTAACTCTCATTCGCGCATATATATATATATATATATATATATATATATGTGTATATATATATATATATATATTGGATGATTTTTTTTATTGACCTAGATATCCAACCCGCTATGCGAGCCAACTAATCTCAGGATGACCACCTGCTTTGCAGATAGCCTGTTGTTATCGCATTTGAACCTCCGTGGCCACAAGAGGATTTTTATTCCTCCTTGGATTTGAATCTGGGACCTCCGGGTACTTTTGACCTTTGGAGTCAAGCTCAAACCAATCAGGCACCACCCTTGTGGTTTATTTGGATGATTTAGAATTCAATAGTAGTGAAGAACCTTGCTAACTTGTAACAAAACTTGTTATCAATTAGGACTTATATCCAATGTATTGTGTAAAAACTTACCATCATAAAACTTTTGGTTCGACCAGGATCATTGTAGCGAGCCAGTAAACATCCATCTTTAGGTTTGAGACCATCGAGAAGAAGACTAGACCTGAGTAATTTCTCTTTTTCACGAACAATATCGTCCATAGGTTTTCCACTGAACTTTAATACAGCTGCAAACCCTCCTTCAACGGTCCTCAAACCAACTGCTTCTTTGTTTGGGTCTGGTAAACTGGAGAACGAAAAATGCTTAGGTCCTATCCATTCTGATATCTTGAGATTTACTTGACTAAGACTATGTTTGGCAAACAATCTAATAAACTAGTTATTGGCCGATGAACTAATTGAGAAACTAGTCATGTTTAATAAACTAGATGAGAATGCAAAATGATCTAAAAGGACATGTTGAAAAATTAATTGGAAAAACAGACATAATTGAAAAAATTGGGGGGAAAACATCTTGATTAAAGTAGCTTTTCAAAAAGATAGTTTCTTTAAGTACTATAATATTTAATCGAGAATTTTTCAATGAGCTAAAAAATAAGCTAGTAATAGAATTCACCTCCTCATATCTTTATCTGATGGAAGAACAATTTGGATAGACATTTTGGACATCTCGGGATCGAATGCTTGGGTGAAAACCGGAGTCGTCATTGCTATCTTTTCCTCCGTGGAGTTCTTCCCAAATATATACCTGCAAAGTGTGTAATATTGTGTCCAAAAACATGGTTTAAGAGGACCGTTTGACTGCTAGTCAAATGTGTTAAATACCTTCAATAACTACAAAATAAGGAGACCTTGAAGACCCAAATCAATATCAATCAATTACATGTGATAATGGTAATGGGCAAAGTAAATTTAAGCGAAAGACTTATGGAGGGGTTTTTCAGCGACCTCTTGAGATAGAGAAAAGGTCTGCATACATCAGATGGAACGTTTTGGGTTTGTTTAGTTTGATTTATTTACCAAAACAAGAAACGTTGTAGTTTTCATAGGACACGTGGATTAGAATAAATAAAAACTCACCCTGCTACGTCGTTAAATCCTGTTGATCCTGCAAGCATGTCACTTTGCGTTTCAACGATTATGAAGGGGCTGTACTTCCGTACCTGGATATATACTTTTGGTAAATGTGATTAAGCACAATTATATTTTCTTGAATCAGCAAAACATCACGTTAGGAGGATGACCAAACCTCATAAGTTGCTGTTCTTTTGAGTATCTGATATTTGGGTGTTTCCAAATCTGGAGTCTTGTAAATCCGCAGCTGTCAAATAACAGAGACAACTTAAATCTTTGATTGTGTGATTAAACGGTAATAAATTGTACATACCTGTTTTATCAAATCCACGAGACCTTCCGAAGAAAAGTACTCGTTGTTCTTTATAGAATCCCAATAGTCCTATGAAGTTGATGAAACAAGAACTGAATGAATTAAATGTTGATGGAAATCTCGAGAATGGAGAAAAACATCGAGTATATAGCTTGGATAAAAACTGAGATCACGAACGAACTCGTTTTCCTTAAGTTATATTTCAACCCAAATATGCCAAAGTATCACGAAATTAACTCGAGGATAATCTCATACAGTCACGATTTTGGCATTAAATTGTTCCTTTTAAACTTAGAGAATCGTAACTGCTCCTATATTAAATGTGAGAATAGCTCCCTATTAAATGGGAATGATTGCTGGAGTAATTAGTGGATGGTTAACTGCATCAGTTGCAAATATAGCAGTTACAAACTGCTTACACGGATCAGAAGGCAACTCAGTAGTACTTCAGAGCTAAAAGCTCTTTAGAGTCGGAAGAACTTCAAAATCAGAAGCTTCTGAACCACCAGGGGCGCTGTCCCTAGGACCCTGCAAGGGGGCATGGCCCCCTTTGACCCCCTGCTATATGGCACCATCCAGTGATTTTGGGTTCTAGTTAGCTTATACAAGTGTGCACTCCACACCTCTAGCCGGTGATATAGCTTAACTACCAACCTCATATTCTCTCATGAACCCAATTACATAAAATTAACTGATGATTTCACCAAAATCACCAACATTAAATCACCAAATATTGCGAACACAAAGAGTGTTCGAGGGTAAGGGAGAAGAGTGAGTGTACCAAATGACTGCAAAATTTTCCATTTTCTGGATTGATGCCCATAACTGAAGTTCCTGTAAAGACCAACAATGGCTTCCATGGTAAAAGGGAGAACGTCATTTCCATTGTCCACCTTGTAGTTAACTCGTATGGTCCTGTCTATTCAAAAAAAGAAAGCTAACAGAAGAGAACCAAGTGAAAGAGATCTAAATCAAGCATGTTAATTCTCCTAGAAAGGAAAAATAGATAGGTTATTTAGGAGTATAACCTTCTAAAGAAAGCTAACAGAAGACGCAAGCAACACTATAATATATAACATGTTAGTTAACAACTTATATCAGAAAAGCCATTAGTGTACATAGAGATAGAGCTGATCATTTGTGGGCTTGGGCCTGGGCTGGACCTAATCTATTTTTCTTGTCAAACAAGCCTAATTTAACAAACCCAATCCTTTTTTTATGGGATTGAAATTTGCCCTTTCTTGCCATATAAACAGGCGGGGCTTGCCCACGGGCTAATGGGCGTAAGAATCTTTTTATATTTTTAAGAAACCAAAACTTATATAAACTCACAAATTATGTGAAGAAGTCAAACATAACAATTTTTCCAATTTAAAATTAGGTGTAAATGAATAATGTACATAATTTTGAAAGAAACTGTTTCGCAGAATATGAGAGTATGGATAAAGGAAATGACCAAATAAAGATAATAAGGAATTGATCAACTAGGGTAATTATGTGTTTACTTTTTAGATTTTCAAAGAGTGTTATTATCATAAGTCATAATTAAGTAGGGATTGATAAGTATCAAGAATTTTAAATTTTATTTGAAAATTATATACATAGAAGTTTATTATAAACATATTAACGGGCCGGGCGGGCCTGCCCCATTTTTTTGCATCATACTTTAATTTTGACAAGTCAGTGCAGGCCCGCCTACTTTTTTGAGAATGGTAGTCCAATCCCGCTTTTCTAGCAGGCCAGACAGGAGGGGGGTGACGGCCGTCCCGCTCGTGAACAACTTAGTATGACGGTATTTTTAGGTATATAACCTTAAATGAGATTTTAAATCAAATCCAAGACCTTCTCACGAGTGTTCTTTAATAGGTCAGGAGGTTACAAATTTTAATTAAAATCTCATTTAAGGTTATATACCTAAGTAACCTATGTTGGCATGTTGTTCTACATCGGTTTTGAATGAATTGTGCATCCCCTTATAAGTTCTTAGTTAAACAATTGATATCAAAATGATCCAACAGGATTCATTTTTGGGGTGCAAGATGCCATCCCAAGAACTAAAATGAAACTAAGGGGGTATGATAGGGAACTCACTTCTTTGTACTAATCTTTAGTTAGTTAGGAGTTGTTAAGTGCTAGTTAGAATTAATATAAATATGGTTGGTATCAGGTAAGAAGGTCTACCATTCTAAAAGCTCGACACTTGGGCACAATTTGGGTATGTTAAGAGTCTCGTGTCGGCTAGACTTAGACCATTTCTACTTTATATATGTTGGGACCTCCCTTTCCCTCATCAAGAGCTCTTTCAAAGAGTAATCTAATGAAATTCCACATATTCTCACAGATAATAACTGCTTTTCAGTTGGCGATCTCCAAGCTACAGTCCTCTCTGAATTTCATTATTTTCATAACATCATCAGCAATGGTGTCTTCTCTGATGCACAATGTGTACAGTGCCTAACTACGCTAGCCTCTAATGATGCATCACAAGATGAAGAAGTAGCAAAGGACTAAGAATCATCAACCCTTAGCTTCCGCAAGTCCCCTTCTCATGTGACCCTTAAGCTTCAGTCTCAATGGTCAGTCGGAGTTTTCGTTCTCTCTTTGCAAACCCAGCTCTTGTATTCACCTATATCCAGCTTATATGAAATTGTGATCGTATTGAATCAATTGAGAAGAGTTACAACCCATTTATACCAATTCAAACCATCACCTAATATCTCCTAACCAACCAAAGATTAGTTACAGAAAGCGAGTTCACTATCATACCCTTTTGTTCTACTAGAGGATGGAGCCTGCAATGATTTGTTAACTGTAGTTTGGATGATTGAGATTGAGATTGAAGAAGAAGAATAGAGAACCATTTCTGAACTCAATCTAACACACTAATACAGATTCAGAACTTTCTAATAACAATTACTATGTAGAACTTTCAACAAGTTTTCAACAAACAGAATGATACCAATACGTTGAGTTCATTTTGCCGTATAGAAATACTTAAAGAGAACAAACAAACAGAATGATGTTTGTCTCGGATTCGCTACAAATCAATACGTATTTTGCAATTAAAAGGCACTAGGTTTAAAATCAAGGCGCAGTTATGCAGTTACGTAACCCTGTATGTATTTAGATAAGTACCTGTCTGACCCAGTGAAGCTGGAAGTTAGGAGAGAACACCAGCTTCAACATTGCAATGTTGAACAAATACCCGCTTATACTGTCGTGCTTCGTAATTGGATCCCGAAATTTGACCTGTTCGTCATACGCCGTCCGATCAATTCCTTGATCATCGAAGAGATGTGGAAGGTCCTCGTACAAGAAATCTACCAACCGTTCAACGTCGACTTTCGACGATTTTGGCGGGATTTGCTCTACTAAACTCAGTCTAATACGAGTTCTATTATCCACTAGAGCTCTGTTTCTGAATTGTTTGATGAAGAACACCGAGCTCCCCGGCGATTTTAGTTTCCGGTGAGTAACATAATTGCAGGAAATTGGCCGGATAACGGTGCCGGAGAGATGTGCGGTGGCCATTTCTCTACAGCCACGGGACAAACTGGAGTTCCAAGTTTTTGTGGTGGGAGGGAAAAATCACATTTCTTCTAAAAGAATGCACATGTGATGAAGCATATGCCAAGCCCATAATCCCATATGGTACATCTCGGCTCCGATAGCAAACTGGAAACCGGGTGTGGTCCGTTTTGGTGAATATTGGGCCTTTAGATTCGGTCCATTAGGATATAGATCTTAGCTCCAAATAGTGGTGGCCCAAAACTGGTCCCGGGTCAGACCGTTTCTGATCTGTCCCAAGGTTGTGCATGACTGGTCATAACCGGTCCCGGTCGAAAAGGTGAAGACCGGTCAAGCCATTCTATAACCGGTTATGGGTCCCGGTCCCAACTGGTCCCGATATCAAAAAATATTTTTTTAAGGATATATATTTTTAATACATTATTATATTTATCGTACGGGTCACTCAAATACACTTTAAAAATATGTTTTATTATAATCTTCAATTTGATTTTTTATAATATATCTTTAGGTTTGTTGTTCAAGACTGGTCCATCCACAACGTGTAGTCAAAAAATTCATAACAGTTGGTATGCTCTAAGTCAACTTTTGATTTTTTTTTCATGGAGACATTGAAATTACTTAAAGATAGATTATATTGTGCACATGTAGGATGCTTGCAGGAATCATGTTAATTAGCTATTTGTTTTAGTAGCAATCTGGTGATTCCTGCTCCCATTCAGGTTTACTTTTCAATTGATATTTGGTTTCCATCTTCAAATCATTGCTTATTTTTGTTTTCGACTGCAATTGTTTTCTGTTTGCCTCTACATTTCAATCTGAGTACCACAGTTTCATCTAAGTGCTACCACATGTTTGTTTTTTGATTGCAATCAGTTTTTTGGTGGTTATATTGATATAGATCTCATTGTTGCAGGGTTCATCAAATGGAAGACTTAAGACTCAAATCTTGATACTAACTTATGTTCAAAGAAGGTATTCTTCCTAACTAAAAATTTCATTCTCACTATGACTAAATTTCCTCTTTTTATTTGCTTGATTTCCATGATCTTAGCTTTGTGTTTTATAACTTCATTTTGGTAAGGCTAGATTTATAGTTGAGACATTGGAAGATGAGAATATTACCACTGTGTCCTTAGTATAATGTGTGCAAATGCTTGTTTCAACTACCTTAAGCTACAAACCTTGTTGGTCTTTACCTAGGTGTCCTACTTTACTGGGTGAACATTCAAGGAGTGACATTGATTGCTTGTATGTTTGAACAATTGAACTTGATGTTATTTTAGTGTTGTAAGTTAACAATTATAAAGGTCTGTCTTTGTGTGCGTATTTTTGCTGCTTGTTTTCGGTGATCCTTTTTATGCATAAGATCATTAGTATACAGTATACCAGGTTCCCTCAATTAAGCCCAAATACCCAAGCTTGACAAATAAATTCTGTTGTCATTGCCTTCTTATCATTAAAATAGCCAAAATCTGTTAGAGAACAATGTGACTGATTTTTCTTATTTTTTTCCCTCTGCAATCAGGTTGCCCAGATTCTAGCGAATTTTAGGTCTCAGGGGAACAAGAGGAGATATGAGGTAAAACTCGTTGATACATGCCTTTTAAGATAATAATACATCTTTTCTTGTAATGATGTTTTCTTGGTCTTTATTTTCACGTGAAGATTGTTCGCTATATAGAACTATGGATGAGACATAATATGTTGATGACTACTGGTTCACCTCAACATTTTTTCTTGCATTACCCATACAAAGTTCTTGCATACAAACAGACAATCCAAGTGATTACCATTTGTCATTGTTGTCGCTTGTAGTAGAATAGCCTCTAAATATGAACCCAACTTCTTAGTCAACACCAAATCCAAGAAGTTATGGGTACTTTCAAAGTCTTTCGGTATATGTAGAGGTTGCTTTTTGACAATTCATTTAACTCACATTGTATGGAAGTGTTGATTTCCTAAATGAGCATTTACTGAAATACAAGGGTCTGGATCTTCTTGTTCCATTTCCATTCTGATGCAATCATATTCTTCTTCCTCACTCAGAATTTCATTTATAAACAGTTGTTGCTCTTTGAATCGACACATGTGTTGTCTGTCATATGGTTGATCACAGTAATAAGATAGACCATTTGTTATTTCCTCGACTCTCACATCTATTGGAATGTATTTGAAGTTCTTAGTGGTCTTTGGATTAGACTTTGCTAAGGTAAGTGGCTTTGGCTTAATTGGAGGGGGATGGCAATAAAGGTGGCTTATTATAATTAGTAGCAGCCATGGATACTGCTTGTAAAGGTTTTGGTGAAAATACAATGGGCTTATTTTGTTTTGGATCTGCATTAATAAACCTTAGAGATCCTTCCTGCAACCTTGCAATCTTTTTAGTCCGTGCTACTGAAGTGGGTTTAAAAGCCTTTACAAATGGCTTAACAGTCGACTTTAAACACACTTCACCTTTTCAGTCATGTTATTTTAATCGGAAAGACTATTGCCTATTGGTTTTCAGGTTTGCCCTTGAAAGTTTTATATCCTTTGCAAAATTTATAGGTATATTTGAATTGTTTTTGGTAATAATGTTCATTTTGCATCTGCTAGATCTTGTAAAATCTAGCTTTATACTCGGTTAAGCTAATACAAGTATGTGGTTGACATTTTTTTTGGTATTGTTTCAGGACTCTTAGGAAATTGTATAATGTGGATCCAAATGTCTACATGTTCTCGATTTATGAGATGAGGATCTTCGGGAGCTCTCTTCTCCCGGAAAAATGGCAACTTTTTCTACATGTGAATGATGATAGGTTAATAACAAAGACAATGAAGAAGGCTTAAGTGATTAGTCTTCAAAAAAGTATATTGAGAAGTAATTAAATATAATAGGGTTGAAGTAAGTTTGATTTTGAAAGATGTATGTGAGTGTAAAATTAGGTCTCATTCGAAAGAGTACTCAATATATTGGATAGATACATTCTTTCTGTAAAATAAGTTATGTGTGTAAATTTGTAATTTTTCCATAAAATAGGTTATGTGTATAATTTTGGATGGACTCATTCTTATGTTACCCAAAATTTTTATTTAAAACATCGATTTGTTCTATAAAAGAGTTTGTTATTATAGACTTTTCATATGAAGATTTGTTCTATTTTTACAGGATGATTGCAAAAGCTACCAACAACACCACTGATGTGTTGGATGAATGGTTATTTGAATCTAACATAGGTATAGATGTAGTAGACTTTATAACATCTTGAAAAGATTTGATATTTTGAAATTAAATAAATTATAGTAAACATTTTATGTTCCGTCGTATTGTGCGGGTACACAACTAGTCAAATTAAATGGACGGTTGAGATTGAGTTGTATTGGTTGTATAAATATAAAAGGTTGTATAATAATCCAACTATATATATATATACCTCTATATATATATATAGGAACAACTAGTATGATGGTGTTGGTCCTAATTGCTTGATTGAAAGACATCAATATCATTGTTTAATTATCTCTTCTCTTAGGATCATTGATATACATGACCAAGATATGAAGCATATATTCTACCTCTTTTTGGTTCTAAAGACGGATATGTCATAAAAAGTGGCCTCAATATCTATTCATGTGTGAATTTATATAAAAATGTGCCAGGTAAGCATCCATGTGGCATGAGCATTTGCCATGTGTGCACCACACTTCCTAAGCAGCCACACACACCTACCATCATAATCACACACGTGGCCTATCATGTTCACTCTATATACCTTCCATCTAGATTTGTTAAGCATCCATCTTCCAAGCTCTAGTTAAGGGGAGTGTTAGAAAATCTAAAATATATATATTTTTTTTATTAACATGGATATCCAACCCGTTATGTAAGCCGATTAATCCCAGAACGACCACCTGCTTTGCAGATAGCCCGGAGTCATCGCATTTGAACCTCCGTGGCCATAAGAGGATTTTTATTCCTCCTTGGATTTGAACCTAAGACCTCCAAGTACTTTTGACCTTTTGAACCAAACTTAAACCAATCGGGCACCACCGTTATGGTTAAAAATCTAAGGAAGTTAATATGATTTATGACAGTTTTTTTAACTATCAAATAACAGTCAACTTGTGCCCTCTCTCTATATCTATCTATCTATAAACACACACGTAAAACTACTTACTACGATAAAAATCTGTTTTATAGGACGCCAAAATGTCTAGTTGCCATGATGACCGCTTTACAGTACTTAAGTGTATACAACCAGTGAACCAAACAATTGCACATGTATCCTATATAAAAGCATTGCAATAAGTTTATAAATATTGAGAGGTTCAAATAAGAATTTGCAAAAAGGTTGAGAAAATAAGAATAAATGATTCATATGAATCATTGGTAAAACATAACAGCTCACATACACATCTTCATATATGAAAAATTCATAAAAGAATGAGCAAGCGAACGTGTTCACATACACATATTCAAATGATCTATTCGGGGTTTACCAATAATTAATTAATGTATGAATCATTTATTCTTACATTATCAACATTTTTGGCAATCTTATTTAAAGTTAAAACCTTCGCCCATCTATATATACATACATATATATATAGATAGATAGATAGATTGATAGTACAGATTCAGATTCAGGTAGGCATGTAACTGCCCCGAAAAAGAATGAGAAAAACAAGAACCAGAAACGGATTCTATCAAAAGAAAGGCCAAGCCAAGGAAACTCATGTGTCCATCAATGCAGAAAACGACCATTGAACATGGAGATCGATCATCTGGGGAAGGAGCTAGCTAGCTACAGAAATGAACATTGCATGGATTCAAGATCCCAACTGACCTGAACCATACCGACACTAGCTCCCAAGGCCTCTGCAAAACCAGAAAACCAACGCTAGGTGAACCAAGACCCTAAAAAACATGTGGGTTTAGTTTAACCGGGAATAAGGTCATCCTCATAGGTCACCGGTTTCGACTCGTGACAAAGCCACTGGGGATTTTTGTGGCTGTTCTCCATGATCCATGGGATAAGTTGAGTTGTGGGCAAGCTGGCCTTGACACTCGCCGTTAACAAAAATACCTAAAAAAACTAACAACCAACCAAGAAGAAGCTAGAGGCCAACAGAGATTCTAATTCAGTATAGACATTAAGATTTGAAAAATGATGCATCATGTAGTCATCTCATGATATATATAATCACCTTCTGGTTGCAAATATATATTAGAAAAGTACTCTACATTCAATCCAATCTATCTATTTGTGAATAGAAGTCTGCCAAGAAAGCATCAACATGGCGCAATATGCCATGTGTGTGATACACTTCTCTCGCAGCAGCACACACCTTCCCACAAGAAGTCGGGAATCACACACGATCTGCTATGATCGATCGCAACCTTCCTTTCTAAACGAAGTCTTTTGCTTTGTGTACACAAACGAAAGTGTTATGAAGGAAACAAGATTCGCTGAGTTCTTTTTGTGGACGAGGTACGAGATACTCATAAATTGATGAAGATGTCATTGATGGCGATGATGATGATGATGATGATGATGATGATGGAGACTATGACTATGCTCCTGCTGCATCCATGGGAGGAGATGGCAATGATGACAATATTTTCTCAGAGTTGATCAAGATTATTGATCAAATCAAGTAAATGAGAAACCCTAGTTTTAGATAGAGATTCCCTTATATATAACAGAATAAGTAGATATAGATACATCTATAGATGTTTATGTGAAATACAAGAAGTGAAGCAACTAGCAATAGTATAGTATGACTACAATAAGACTGGCTTGCAGGCTGCTAATTGGGTATTTGTAAACAGATATATACTTATCGTCATATCCTGCTTATGAGTTAAAAGCTGATATGTTAGAAAAATACTGCAGAAAATTAGAGACAAACATATTAGGATGTGATTAACATCACTATCCTTATAATAATATTAGCCCACACTATATGCTGTTAGGTTATGGCTAATTTATTCCCAGGATTAACCTGATCTAGATGAATGATACAACAAATCATACATCTCCATGAACATCTGTATCGTAGCAGAAATTGAAGAGGAGAAGAGAAGAACCAGGAAAAGTGGAACTAACGATTCTAACAAGATGTTAGATATATATATATATATATATATGGACTATAGGTAACAGAAAAACTGTTGGTGGATAAGATGTTAAACCAAGAAACCGCACATACAGATAGGAAACTGTACTGTGCATAAATAAAAACCGCGTTTTTGTGAGAACTGCATCGCGCAACGTGCTGGTGCTAGTTCTGTCTTTTGATCCATTTAACAATTTCTATGTCAACCCAAATCAAGTAGAAAATCAAGCCCAAATCCTAAACCAAATAAAATAAGACTTATAAACCACTCTCATATTAGCTCCTCTTCTTATGTGGGACAAAACTTCCAATTATTGAAGACTATATCCAACATGATATACATACAATTAATCATATACAGTTTGCCGAAAACATTGGTTTTCTTGTTGCATGTGTGTTGAATTGCAGGCTAGCAGCTACAAACATATTTGATGAAGATGAAACAGAAAACATGTGAGAC